CTCATTTCTAGGATCTCAGTGGTTAAGAGCTCTAGCTTTACCACCTGCCACCTGCAGAGCCTTGGGCAAGTTTCTTATTCTCTAGATGCCTCAGTTTTCTCATCTATAAAATAGGGATGATAATAGTACCTACTTCATTGAGCTGATACAATGTTTTTATATGATACTGGTCTTTATTCTAGCAGGAACCTGGCCTATATTTTAACTTCTATCATCAGGGTTGTGGAACTCTATCTTGCCAGCTAAGTGGCACGTTGTACCATGTGCTCCGCAGTGTATGGGACTGTGCTACAGATGCAGTGGGCAACAACATGTGTTTGACTGATATCTGCAGAGTTGTGACTCCTTTTCCTACATTCTGGAAGCTTCATTAAAGAACGTCACTCCCTCTGTATCCAGGACAAAAGGCTTTGAAAACCCTACTTGGGATCTGAAGAGGCTGACCCTTTAACAGGCACTAAGTACAACTGTGCATATGATCTCATAGGGGAAACTTGAGTCTCTTATGATTGTTGGCTCTTCCTTTGGGAGATGGGGAAGATCCTTATCAGAACATTCTAGAGTCTTTAGAACTTTGACTCTCCTTCAGTTTCTGAAGACTGGGAAGCTCTTTTCCCTGCTACATGTGATCTCTTCGACAATTCACCAGTGCTTTTCACAGGGGCCACTTATAGGATGTTTGCAGCTTGATCATTTGGAGGTCCTTTCAAGATAAAAGTGTGAGGCTGACTGTGGGCCAATTCCTGGGGATACAGAGAAGAAAAAGGCTCAGGCCTCGCCACCAAGGAGAGGGACAGGTTGTCCTTATCAATTCCCTGGCTATCTCAACAGCCTTCTATCTTGTCCCTCTGTCTGCATTCCTGACCCCCTTACTTAACTCAATACACTGTCTATAAGCAGCCAGAGGAATCTCCGAAATGCAAATTCAGTTCAGCATCTTCAGAGGTTTCATTCTGCTCTTAGGATGAGCACTGGAATCCTTAGTTGGACCTATAAGGCCCTGTGTGGTTAACCCTGCTCACCTTTCCAGAATCTTGGGATCTTCAGCAATTTATTCTTCCTTCTTCTTAGGCTCAGCACATACTGTTCCCTCTACCTGGAATGTTCTTCCTCTTTCTCACATTCAGTCTTTAGATATCTGCTCAAATGTCACCTTTCTAGGGAAGACTTTTCCAGAACCTCCAGATCCTTCTCCCTTATTAAATCTATCACAGTATGAAATGAAATGTTTGAGTGTTTCTCTAATTAATCTCTGTTCATCTAGGTAATAACTCTTCTTGTTCCAGAACCACAAGGGTTTATTTCTATATATGGAAAATTATTATTTAATATATTAAGTGATATAAATTATTATTTCAATAGGTATCCAAAGCAATTTGATAAAATTCAACACAAATCTTGAAACTTGGAATAGAGGAATATTTCCTTAAAATAAATAAATAAAAACATAAAATATAAGAAATATATAAAACAAAATATTAATATATTTTACTTTATATATTTTATCTTTTATTACATATTATCTCTTTTCCTATTTTATAATAATATAAAATATAAATATAAAATAATAAAAATAATTAAAAATTAAAATAGTGCATTTATTTAATCATCAGACACAATATGATTCTTGAAAGAGAAATGCCAAAACAACTCAATTAAACATAGAAACAAGACAAGTTCTCCTTGTCACCATTATCATATTAGAGAATGTTGCAAAGTAATAAAACATATACAGATACACAAGAGAAATATACATACAGAGACACACAAGCACACAACTAAGACAAATAGTGAAATTGATAAAATAAAAATAACATATAGTTGTATTGTGAATTTGAAAAAGAAAGGCATTCTACAAAGCGGTCAAGAGTCTTTGGATTTACACACATCTTTGTTTCAATCCTGGCTTCAGCAATTAATAACCATGTGAACTTAATATCTCTGAGCCTCCACTTCCTCACTTGTAAAATGGGTATAATAAAATCTACCTCCCATAGTTCTTGTGAGCATTATGTGAAATATTATTAAATGCTTAGCATAGTACTTGGCACAGAGTAGTCATTCTAGTTACAGTAATTATGCTAGTTAATCACTATAGAAATCACTCTACCATTTGTTAATACTACTACTATACTAGGAACATGTATAATACCAATTCATCTATGCCACTATTTATCAGCTAGAAAAGAGTCTTCTTATCTAATAAAAAAAGAGTCTTCATAAATAAGCAAAAATATAAATCACATAGGATGTGCCCCAAGAAGAGGATGGAAGACCTATATCTTAAATCTTTTAGAAGAATACCTAAATTAATACAGGGACAAACCATGTGCCTGAATGTGAACTGTTTGCAAATTAAATAATTTAAAAATCTATAAGCTACAACAAACAAACTAGGACCATTCTGAATCCAATGAGTAGTTTTAGAGCAGTCACAATTAACATGTATAAAATGGTATAAATTTCACTTAGAGAAATAGGTAGATTAGAAGCAAACTGGAAAGGACCTGGAATCCTTGACTCTTAGGTTAGACGAGAGCTAAGAGCCTTCTGAGGTCATCTAGTCCAGGAGGGAGAGGAGACCCACAGAGGTTGAGGAACATATTTAAAGACCCCATTAATTAATGTCTAGATTGGGACATAAACTCAAATCTCCGGACTTCTTGACCAGTTGTTTTTCCATTAATTTACACTGAATCTTTGCATCTATAATATAACGAATATTCTGAAAAAGAAGAGCAATGAAGAAGTAACCCCACTGCACACCAGAATATAGAGGGAAGCAGCAATTTAAATGGTGAAGTTCTGATCAGAATAAAGCAGACTCAAAGGCCCAGTACTAGTCTTTGAAATATATTTTAAAAAGTAGTGTGTAATTATCTAAGCCACAATATTACAGGAAATATAAATACAATTAAAATATAACTGAGGTAATGGGATCTTAAATCTTCAGATACCTATATCTTAAAATAAATTTCAGCAAAATAAATATGAATAGATTAAACTACAGACAAACTAATAGAAAGTAGATTTGCTATCTCAATTAAAGAGAGGTAATATGTTTATAATGATTTAAGTAATGGAAGACTTCTCAAAGGAAAAGATAGGCAAAAAAGATTACATGAAACTTTACGATTTCTCTAAAATAACACAAAACTTGTTAAAAAGCAAAAAAAAAAGATAGAATGAAAAAATATGAGAAAAATACAGCCAACAAAGGGTTAATATTTATAGAGTTTATGTACATTACCAAGAAAAACAAACAAACCAACAAAAAACCCCAAACCCAAATGGACACAAGTAAAGAGATAAGCAGTGAACCATCCATTAAGGGAAAAAAAGGCAATAAATATTTTAAAATTTTTAGTTGAAGCTTGCTTGCTGGCAAATTAATTGAAGTAATAATGAAGTAGCATTTCACACTAATGCTACTAATAATACATTATAATCATTATTATTATCTGGTTCTCACTGTATTCTGGCCAACAAAGAGCAAAAGCAAAGTCCAGTGCTGGTAGTTCTCAGGATGAAGACTCCTCACTCAGGCTGCAGGGAGCTTTATAGTTTGGAGGCAATTTGTTAAAATACAAATGTTTTTGCACTTTGACTCAGTGACTCTCAAGCCTAAGAATTTATCCCAAGGGAGTAAATTAAAGGAAGAAAGAAAGAAACTGCAAGTACAAAGCTGTTTATGGTAGGGTTGTTCATCATAGTTAAAAAAGTTATAAACATCCGAAATATCCAACAATAGACACATCAATACAAAAGTAGAATGTGCACTCACTAAATGATAAAATGATAAAATGATAAAATGAGAATGAGTCAAAATATATGGATTGGCTGTGAAGTAACTTTTACAAAGTAGAAACAGGAAGTTACATAAATCATCAAATTAATTGTGAAAAAAATGATAAATATGGGTAAATGGTGGAAAAAATAGAAATGGTTGCTTTTTCAGAATTTATGGGGTTGTGGACAAAATTTTAAGATATATCTTCCTAGTTTTTTTTATTCTGCTTTAATAAATTAAAAATTAAAAGTAGAGCAGTACATAATAATTTTTCCAAAGATTTCCTCTAAATATAGTTAATTTTTTTAAATGTAGTATTTAGTGCTCACTTTGGCAGCACATATAGTAAAAAAAAAAAAAAAAAATTGGATCAATACAGAGACGATTAGCATGGCCCCTGCATAAGGATGACGTGCAAATTCGTGAAGCGTTTCATAAAAGTAAAAAATAAAATTAGTACTTAAAAAATTGTTGGAAATTTTACTTCTGGGAATCTTCTTGTTAATGTTGAATAGGTAAGTGTTAGTTACTATATTTCAGACCAGGGACTTCCAACATGGTTCGTGGCACCCTGGACACATCCATATGACAATCCTTGAAGGCTTCTATGCTGAGAATGACCATGGCTAGTGTGAGATGAGATATCGGGAGAGGTGAGTCAGGGATGGGGAGGTGATAGGGGAGGGGAGAGGCCCAAAGTCTCATTTTTCAGAAGATGAGTCTGACAAGTTGGCTGGGTGGGGACTTACAGTCATTGGGAGGAAAGGGCTGGGGTTTGGACTTTGTAGTGACAGCAGATTGGAAAGCAAGAGATGACTCTAATGTCTTCAAAAGAGGAACTATTCTATTTGGGTGACTTCCTGGGTGTGAGAGGAAAAGGAAAAGGAAGCATCAAAAGTTCAGGCCTGGGTCACCCTTCCAGACCCACGAGGTGCTAACAAGGCCCCGGGAGGGTTGGCAGGGTCTGGAAGGAGGGCTGGTTGGAAGGAGACAAGTTTAGAGGTTCTCTGAGTGGGCAGGAAACACGATCTGATTAATTTATTCATCTGCAAATATTTACTGGGGACCTGCCCTGTGTATGGACCGCACTTGCCACTGGGACAGACAAGGGCTCTGACAGGAAGTCTAGTGTTTACTTTTACCTTCTTCCATCTGGCAAAAATGAATCCAGCCCTGGGCTGAGAAGAGTATCTGCCCCAACCCCACCTACCTTTTTCCTGCTCAGCTGCTTCACTAAGGTCTGGAAGTTTGAGCCCCACTAAGTTCTGATTTCTCATCAAGATGTGCTCCTTTTTAGAAAAAGCGAAAGACAACATTTCAGATGAGGACATCAGGTCGGACTCCTCTCTCAGTTCCGTCTATGGCTCTGTGACTACTCAGCCTCATGAGGGAGACACTAGGTGCAGCCTCAAAGGTGGATGGACAGTCATGACAAGTGACATCTGAAGGTCACCAGGAAGACAGCTCTTCTCCCAACCCACAAAGGTGCCTGAAACCCCATCATTGGCACCATATTCCTTGGGTAATAACTGTCTGCCTTTAAAAAATACCTGTGGGTCTCTGTGAATGAGCTGCTAGTCACGCTGTGGCTGAAGTCTGGAGGACACACAGAAAGGGGACCCAGGGCTCTGGGGTTTGGAGGGTCCCCTGGGTGTATATAGATCTTCCACTGGAAACTATCTTTGGTAGGTTTACGGCTGTGCTCTGAGCTGCTGGAGCTTCCTGCCCTATTGTTCTGGGCAGTGAGCGTCTACTTCTAGGAGTTGCGGCCTGTCCCCACTCACTTCCTCAGTGGCCTATTATGGCACCTCTTGAGTTATTAAACTCTCCAGACAAATGAGGCCTGAGAATTGCTACCTTAAAGCGGCAGGTCCGGCAACCACTGTCCAGCCTGGACCCTCAGCAGGTGGAGCAGCAGTTGGAGCCCTGAAGAGATGGGATAACTGACCACAGTATGTGGCCCTGGTAGGCTCATACCTGCTCCCTGTCCATCAGCACCAAACCAGCACCCCCAACCCAAAATGCCTGATCCAGCTCCTCACCCCTGTGACTGATACTATAAAAGGATTTTCAGTTTCTTGTGTGGCAGAGGCCAATTGAATGGTTGCTGCAGAAGGCGCTCATGGCCCAAATGGAAGTCACAGGACAGGGCCTTTTATGTGTTTCCTTAGCAAGCCAGAGGCCTACAGCCAATCACCTCTCAGAACACTGGATTGAGATGTGGGTGCTTAGCTGCCAGGGCAGAAGTTAGTGGGATGGGACCCTCAGGTTCTGTGTGGCTCTCTTTGCTGCAGAGAGAAGCTTGCAGAGGTGGTGGTAGGGGTGGCCTGTTGCCTGGGCTTGGTCATGGCCAAAGGTTCACAAAGTCAAATATCTGGCTGTCTAGCCCACTTGGTGCCAACTTCCCCAGAGATCTGAGACTGTGGCCCACCATGGACAGCACCTCCAGGCCAGTGTTGATCCACTAGTCAGTGAGTTCCTCTTGACTGGGTGGGGTTTTCTGTGTAAAATGTTAACATCAGCAACCAGCCCCCAGCTCCCAAGCATAATGGAAGTCTTCTGAATAGAACAGTGGCCAGCACTGGAGTGTGTCCCTGCCAGTACAGACACTATTTCACTTATGCTTGACTGCTACCAGGTGCTTGTGTTTCTTCCCTGTCCCATGGCCCTCTGTAGAGGGGCCAGGAGAGTCTTGTCCAGCTCCAGCTATAGGGTCACCAGGGCCTACCCTGTGGAGTCCTGGTTGCTTTGGCCTGTGGCCTGGGTTGGCCCTCTGGGGAAGAGGGGACTAAATAAGGACTCTTTTGTCCTGTTAACCTCTTCTGTCCCTCACATCATGGTCTCTCTCCCCTCCATCTGTGGACAATCCCAATCACCTGCTGCATACGGTGACAGCCCCATGAGAGACCGCTGATAGCCACTGAAAGCTGAGGGACATCATGAACATTGGGAGAGATTTACCACAAAGGGAACAGCCCCTCATGGCCATTATTATACTCGAGGATGGATTTGAGAACCTTTGTTAACAGGTATCAGGAAGAAAAGTTTGCGGTCATGACAAAGAAAAAAGCTATCTCTTTGTCTAGCTTGTATGACAAGGCACTCCATCAAGGGCTTCCTGTTTATGAGCCACCAGCTCCAGCTAGAGGGGACAAAACACAGTCCAGGACTGAGGGCCTAGGTGCCCCTTTGTACACCAAATTCCCCTGAAATGTGGCGTTGTGTGGCAACTATATCCCAGACTGACCTTGCCCTAGTAAATGGGGTAAAAACACCTAAAACTGGTGTTCATGAAGAAGATGCTGTACAGTGGGCTAGATTTATTAGGGTGGGGAAGTTTAGGACCCCACAAGGCCCAAGTCCAGGCCAGAGCTGCCCTGCCCTAGGGCCCAGCTCAGCCCAAAGGTCTTTTGTCCAGGGCAGACCTGGAGTGCGTACCCGACCCAGCTGGCCCCAGGAACCCACCTCACGGAGTTTCGTCAGTTTCTGCATCCGCACAGGCTGCACTTGTATCTGAAAGTCTTTGAGTCCAGGAGCCTTTGCCAGCTTGCTGCTGGCTTTGCCTGCAAAACGCTTCTCTTCTTCTGCCAGTGGCAGCTTGGCAAGCACTTTCTGTAGCAGGGGGCCAGGTTCTTCAGGGCCGCTGTCCCAGGAGACCCCTCGCAGCAGGGGTGGCCGAAGCTCAGCTTTGGAGCCAACCTTGGACCCCGTTGGCTCTACAGCTGTGCTTTTTCCCTGGGGGGCCAGGGGAGCCACCCCTCCGGAGCCCTGGGCTGGACTTCTGGGCAGAGGGTTGCCCTCCCTGGCTGTCTTCAGTAGTGGCTGGGCAAGCCCACTCTCAGCAGGGCCAGGCTGGGGGCTGTTCAGGGCCATTTTCCCACCACTGCCTGTGCCAGAAGCTGGGCCTTTGGGTGTGGCCTCAGGGCACTGGAGGGGATCAAAGTTTTCTTTTTGTTCTATTGCAATCTCTTTGGATTTTTCAACTGTAGGAGAACGAGGAGTTAGCCTGCCTTGAGACACTTTCCTCTGGTCATTCTGCTTCCGGTCAGCTAGCCCTTTGGGGATATTCTGAAAGAGACAAGATAGAGCTGGGACCCCAGAGGCAGGTCAGGGAGGAGACAGGTGGGACCACTTCTGCTGTTGGGTATCTAACCCCCACAGGCCCTCTTAAGGGCCACGTGCGTGCGTGTGCGTGCGTGTGTGTGTGTGTAGGGGTGTGAGCCAGGTGGAAGGGGAGGGCTTCTCAGTAAAATCTGAGCTAGTAAAATAAACCCACAGACAAGCCTGAGGTTTGTAAAAATCAGGACAAGGGAATTGCCATTCAAAACCTGCCAAGAATTTCCCAAGGGATAGGAGCTATGGAAGAGAGCAGAATAGAGGACAGGCTTTGGCCTTGACTCAATTGTCCCAGATTCTATTACTGGCTCTGCCTGGCAAGGCCCTTAACTTTTAGGGACTTAGATTTCTCATCAGGTTTGTGAACCCTCTGAAATTACATGCAAATATATATGTATGAGTGTATTTGTTTGTTGTATGTATTTTTCTGGGAAGAAAATCTACAGCATTTAATAATTTCTCAGAGAGGTTCATGACCCAAAAGAGGTTAAGAATCATTGGATGAGGTGATTCTCGCAAAGGTGATATCTTAATGCTCAGAAGTTCACTCTTCTTTCATTTCCCAAGGGAAATCTGCTTTGTAAGAAGCCTGTGGGTCTGTATCTGGGTATTTGTGTGGCTACCTTGTGTGGGTGCTGAGACTTTTCCAGAAGGCTCTAACCAACCCCAACCTAGTTCTAGATGAGATCGTATTCTATGCTGCCCTCAACACCCTCTTGAGCACTTTGCTCTGAGCAGGTGTGGCGTTCTTCTGTTGGTCATCTACAAAGACGAGGTTTCTCTGGCTGCTCCTAGGAAGAATCCCAACCAGGGGCTGGAAATTTCCTACAATTTTCACTAGAGTAGCAGTCTTGCCTGGCTGTTGCTGGGCGCAGTGGTCTCCCTGGTGTCTGGCCAGCAGCGTAACTGTGGGAGCAGGGCTATAGGTTAGACCACCATGGCGGTCACCTCCATTGAATCCTGCCTCCTCACCCCCTCCAGACTTCCAGTCCCAACAGGACAGAGGAACTTTCTAGCTTCCCCAACCTCAACCCTCCACTTAGGCACACACACTTGCAGGCTACACAGGGCCAGCTTAGGCTTCTAGGACACTATGTCTCCCATGACCAAGTCATCCAAATTTGCGCAAAGGTCAAACTCACAGGCTCGCCAAGATAAGGTGAAGAGACTTTGGCCTCATCCTCCTTCTGCTGGAAAAAGTAAACATGTATCAGTCAGCAGTGTGAAGAGACCATATCTCCTCTTGAAATATCCTCAAGGAAGCCCCTAGAAGTGGTATAGATGCCTCCCCCACCTAGCACCCTCATTTTAGTGGGTCAGGGAGGGCCTCTTGGGTTAAAGGGTAAGAGGAGAGACCAGTTGTCATAGAAATCTCAAATGAGGTCCCCGTTACCTGTGGTGGTGCTCCAGGTAGAGGGGACTGTGGGCCACTGCATGCATCCAAACCTGGAATGGTCCATACACTGGTGAGTGATGTCCGGCACCCAGACTCTCAGCTGTCCCTTTTGCAGAAATACATCTATCTCCCCAGAATGTCCTCCCTTCATTCCCTCAGGCCTGGGAGCCAGTAATACCACCATTCGTTGAATACCTGTCACATACTAGTTTTTGTGGTGAGCCCAGAAACCACATGAAGAAATTGAGGCAGAGGGAGATCAAGGTTACACAGCCAAGAAGTGTCAGCTCTGAGATTTGAATCCAGGCTGCTTGGCCTGAACCTGAGCTTGCCCCACAGTGCTGACAAGCAGGCTGCTCTCCCTGGCACCCTGCCCCTTCCTCTGCTGATCTGAGGGTGTGGCCCTGAACAAAGCCTAATGAAAGCAAAGAAATCACAAAGCAAAGAGTGGCCCGAATAGAGGCCTTTCCAAATACGCTCTGAGTCTTCTCTAGGCAGAGACTGCCAGCCAGAGGCCCCTTCTCACAACCTTGCCCCCATCCTTACCCAGCCTGCCTCATCCTGGGTTAGGCCTGTCTCCCCACACTAGCTCAAAACCTCAAGATAAAGTACATCCTCCTCCTCTGAGGCAGCCCAGCCAGGCCCAGTTGGGAGCACTCCTGGGAAGGGGGCCTGACTGGGAAGCCTGAGGATAGGAAGCCTCCTGATCAGGCCATAGGAGAGGCT